GTAAGAGGTTGGCACATTGATAGGGCTTGAGAATTCCCTCCATAAACCTCTGTACTCAGTATCAGCACACAAAACCAGGTCATCCAAGCTTGTGGTTGTGGAATCATGTAGTTCTAGAGATAGGGTACTTGGGATTTTTTGTGGCAGGCACTTATATTACCCAACTCATGATCAGTTGGTTCTATCACTAAGTAAGCGGGCTATCCGTGTTGGAAAGGGCTTTCCAGGAGCCTGAATCTAGCGCTATCCAATATGAACTATGTGGCCTTAGGCAAATTACCACTTGTGAGCCACACATTCCTTATTTGTAAAATGGAGACAATCTTTCACCAACTGAGAGAGCTTGGTGGAAAAAATTCATTTTTATTCCATTTTTCCATAAACTTTAAGGTTTCTTGTTTCTGCCCATTCCAAAGAAGGGTGAGCCAACAGAAATTTTAAGTTATTTAATAATATCATTTACAAGTAAAATTCAAAACCTGGAATATCAATAGGGAATTGCCAGAAATTTAAGCTGGACTCAGAAGAGTATATGAAACAAGAGCTATCATTGTTGATGTCAAGTGTTTGAAATCTAGAAAGAGGTATGCTGTGGGGTCTTTTTGGCTAGACCCTCCTGGCTAGGGGTGGAGTCAAACCTGTCAATCAAGTTGCAGTCTGACGTCATAAGCCTTCTGTATAAGAGCAAGAGGAACGAGGCCATCTCTGCCTCTTTGCCTTCCTGCCTGCTGGAACACTGCCTGCCTTCCCACTCCTACTCCCCACTCCCCACCCACTTCATCACCCCACCCCCACTCTGCACCCATTGGCATATAGTCTTCCTGCCTCCCAGTTCACCATCCTGTGTCACCAGCATGTGGCAGCTGAATCTGAAGAGGGAATTATGGCTGGCATCAGGCTTAAGGACTTGAGTTGGCGTGGAATGGATGCCTTCCTGACCTCTTCCTTACAAATAGAAGAGTGTCATTGGATTTGTTTCTCTACACTATACAGCCTAACACAGCATCTGACCATATGATCATACAAATTATGGATAGCATTGCAAAAAATGGAATTTTGGAACAATTTGTGCTCATATAGAACCTATACATAGAACAAGAGGCAGTCATTTAAAGAGGACAAAGGATACTGCACAGGAAGGTATGTATCAGTGTTGTATAACTTTACCATATTTATTAAATCTGTATGTTGAGCAAATAATCAGAGAATCTGGACTATATAAAGAAATCTGCACCCGAATTGGAGACAGATACATTCAGAGCCTGCGATATGCAAATGATATTACCTTGCTGGCGGAGAGTGAAGCAGACTGAAGAGCTTACCGATAGACATTAAAGATTATAGTTCTCAGCGTGGATTGCACCTCAATGTAAGGAAATCAAAATCCTCACAACTAGACCAAGAAATACCATGATCAACAGAGAAAAGACTCAAGTTGCCAAGGGCTCCATTTTACTTGAATCCACAATCAGCACCTGTGGAAGCAGCAGGCAAGAAATCAAACAGTGCCATAAAAGGTCTCTCTAAAGTATTAAAAAGCAGAGATGTCCTTATAGGGAATGCCGGGGTGGGGGTAAGGATGATAGGGAGGAAAGGGAATCTGGGGAGTAAACAATGAAGGCAGGAGCGGGGAGAGAACAGTAGAACGGATTATGATTCCACAACTCAGTTTAAAGGCGATATAACTATGGATAGAAGGCTCTGAGATAGCTTATTGTGCCAGCCTGGCCGATAAACACAAGTGGGATTAACTGAAGGGCAGAGAGATAAATGCCTTGGTGAGTCTCCTTTTGTCTCTCACTCTTCGATCATCTGACCAGTGTGCGGCTGCCTTGCTTGTCCTGTGCCTCAATTTAAAGGCTACACTACCTGTGGGACCCCTAGCCTGTGGACTGTGTCGCTGTAAGTTGAGGTCCCTTTAAGACATCGCTGGAGCTGGGGACTGGCAGTTGGTGACCTGGCTGGCAGTTGGTGACCTGCCTTCTGATTGGCTGCTGTGCTGACATAGCCTAGCTCGCTCTATAAATAGAGGAAGATCTGGCAGCAAATTGGACTGGAAGGACTGCTAGTCTCTCACATCTCTCTGATGGCAGTGAGTTGAATTGAGCCATTTGTAGTGCTTTATAATTTAACTGTTTCTTTCTTGTATTATATATTTAACTGTATATGATTTAACAGTTCATTCCTTGTTATATATCTAATTATCTTTATAAATAAATGTATTAAATTATCAGCAATTTGGTTTTATCTCTCTAGAGAACCCTGTCTAACACAGGCTCTAAAATAGATGTGGTGGTGATGGCACCACTTCCTTTGACACAACTGAACAATTGAACTGTTCAATTGTATATGTAAATTATGTGCCCCAAAAACTGTTGGGGGGGGGGGTGTCACTAAGAATAATGTGGGCCTGACCTAAGCCATAGCATTTGCAATCACCTCATCTGCATGCAAGAGCTGGACAATGAATACATAAGACCAAGGGAAATCTGATGCACTGCGTTATCGTGTTAGTGAAATATAGTAAGTGTGCCATACACTGCCAAAAGAAATGAACAAATCTGTCTTAGTACAGCTAGGATGTCCCTTAGAAGCGAGGATGTTGAGAAACTGTCTTAGGCACTTTGGGAATGTTATCAGGAGGGACCAATCCCTGAAGGGCATGCTTGCTTGCTAAAAAAGGAAGACAGGGAGGGAGGGAAAAGAGAGGAGCTGATACCAAGGGCTCAAGTAGAAAGTGCTTTGAAAATGATGATGGCAACTCATGCACAAATGTGACTGATACAACTGATGTATGGATTATTACAAGAGCTGTAAGAGCCCCCAATAAAATGATTGGAAAAGAAAGAGGAAGCCAATCAAGAGGTGGACTGAGAATCGCTGCGATCCTGAGCAGGAACGGCGCAGGGCAAGGCAGGGTTCATTCTGTTTCCCACCTGGCCACGACAAGTCGAAAGCAATGTAATGGCACCTGAAACAACCTCCTCGTGGACTGGTAATCCTCACAAGTCACCTTGTATCACCGAAAGGACCCAAGATACATGCAGGTGTCTTACAATATTAGCTTTCTTCCCGTTTCTCATTCTTAAAAAGACTATTAAAGCCTCAACGCAATTCTACAGTCAACCTACCCGTGTAAATTTGAGATTATGGTCAAGCAAGACGAAGTAAATCTCAAATTACAAAACCAACGAGTAAAGATATTGTATTCTTGAGTTGGTGCAATGACCATAAAGAATCATGGAATGACTGAGGGCAGGACATGAGGGTGCTGAGGCGTTGAAGAAGGGAAGTCTTGGGGGAGTGCAGATTGGGAACCCAAGACCCATCTGTGGCAACTGGACATCCCCTTACAGAAGTGTCTCGGAGGAGACGAGGCAGAGTTCAGGGTAGCAACGATGAAACATACAACTTTCCTCTAGTTCTTAAATGCTTCCTCCCCCCACTATCATGATCCCAATTCTACCTTACAAATCTGACTGGACCAGAGGATGTACACTGGTACAGATAGGAACTGGGAACACAGGGAATCCAGGACAGATGAACCCTTCAGGACCAGTGATGAGAGTGGTGATACTGGGTAGGGTGGAAAGGGGGAACCGATTACAAGGATCTACATGTGACCTCCTCCCTGAGGGACAGAAAACAGAAGTAGGTGAAGGGAGATGTTGGACAGTGTAAAATATGACAAAATAATAATAATTTGTAAATTATCAAGGGTTCATGAAGGAGGTGGAGGGGGATGGGAGGGAGGAAGTGAGGAGCTGTTGCAAGGGGCTTACGTGCAGAGCAAATGTTTTGAGAATGATGAGGGCAACGAATGTACAAATGTGCTTTACACAATTGACTTATGTATGGATTGTGATAAGAGTTTTATGAGCCCCCAATAAAATGATTAAATAAATAAATAAAATCAAGACCAAAAAAAAAAACGGGGAAGTCTTGGAAGGCAGCTGACTGTAAAATTATCCAGGAGACCCAGAGCCTAAACCCAAAGTCCCACCTTTCCCACCCGCCACTGTTTTTCCCAAAACCAAGGAAGAAAAAGCAAATTAGTACCTAGAGTCTATATCTGACAAAAACCTGCTCTCCTCCAAAGGGCTCCGGTAACTCAGAAACTCCATTTATTAACCTCCGAATCAAAGAATTCAGGGTTCTGCATAGGTGTTTAGGGACAACCGTGGACCTGCTGCTCCCATTGTTGTGTCCATCAAAGTCAACTCGCTTCCGCTTCGGCAGCCTCTGTGTCCGTCTTCTGAGACGCTATGAGGACTTCACGGGCCCGTTTCCTTCGTAGTCTCTCAGCACCAGTGATCATCATGGGATGCAGAGGGAAAAAGCCTGACAGACCTAAAAGCAACAGCATTGTCACTCATTGTAACCCACGCAGTGCGAGTTAACAGCTCCCTGAGAACGCTACTCACACCCACACGGCTGAAGTCTAATAGAGACCAGCCCCAGGGCACCCGTCACTCAGCCATCTCTGCCCCACCCCATTTATCTGCAATAAGCTACCTACTTCCGAACACGATTCTCCTTACTTGAAAAAGACCCCCAAGAGCTGCCCACCGGACACCCACTATTCCCATTTTCAGCACAAAACAAGGCCCCTTAACGGAGTCATAGAGGTCTCCAGATGAAAAACGGCAAGTAGATCACAATTTCAACTCCTCCTCACGCCCTGAAACCATTCATTATTCTTATTTGCCTGAGGCCAAGTTCAATTTAAAACCCCTTCAGTGAGGTTGGGGCCAGGACTTAGTTACCCAGGAGCTTTTCCACCGGCTTGGAGAGGTGGGCCCCGCAGCCAATCCAGTGCCGGATCCTCTCCAGGTTGAGGGCAACGATTTTCTCTCCGTGGCTGTTGGGCAGCGGGTCATAGGAGCCTAGCTGTTCCACAAACCGGCCATCTCTGGGGCACTTGTTGTGAGCAGCCACGATGCGGTAGAAAGGCCGGTTGGTACAGCCACCCAGGGCGAGGCGGATGGTTAAGTGTCCCCCATGGTAGGCCTTGCAAAGGAGGGGAGCTGTAGAGAAATAACCGATTAGGGCACAAGACAGCAGGGTGCAACATGGGCCAGCCCCCCTGCCTCCATTAAAGTGTTCTCGATTCTGTCAATCCGCTTCAGATGTTTTTTTAAAAAAATGCTTTGAAGCACTCCAGCCAAAAACTACCTCCTCGGGCCCCCAAATCTACTCAGCACAGGCCTGACACGTACTCGTTCTGTGATTTTGTCCAGCTCCCGTTCCCCAGCCTCAGCTGTCCTATCAGTAAAAACGGAAGGGATGTCTCTAGCTCAGGGGACAGCTGGGAGGAGGAGGTGGGAAATCAAACGCTAAGGTGGTGTGCAGTTTCAGGTTCGAATTCCTCCAAGGAGCTCACGAGCGCGCAGATCTGCCTGGTCCCGTACCCCTGACCCCACGGCCTGCAGGGCGGTGTGGCGGCGCCCGGGTCACTCACTGAGCTGGACCATCGTGCAAGCCGGCTGGCGTCGGGGCCGGGAGCCACTCCTCGCCGTCCGCAGGTCCCGCTCGACAGCTCCCAGCGGCACGCGGGATCCACGCGGGACACCTCACAGCCTGGGCTTCGGGTGCCGACAACCCCAACGCGGACACCGCGGGTGCCGCTGCCGACCGACCGCTCGCCCCGCCTTTTCCGCTTTCCCTCCTACAGTTCCCACAAGGCAGCGCGGCCGCCTCGCCTACAGCTCCCACAATGCACCCGCGAGTTTCCGCCCGCGCCCTGGAGGAACTCCAACTGCGTCACTGCCGCTGGGAGGCGTGTCGGAAGAATGCCTAGAGGAATGCCGAGTGAGCGTACCGCGGTGCTGAGACGTCCTACCCCCAGGAAGTTCATTTAGACGGCGAGTCATCACGGTTACTAGGGACAGCAGTGCTCGGTTCTGAGGGAGCGGAGAAGGCGAGCCTGATACTTCACGAGACCAAACCATACCAACTGATGTCCACTCGATTTCCCACCCTAAAAGACGGGGCAGAATGGCCCCCGAGGCGTTCGGAGGCTGTACATCTGTGCGGGAGCACACAGCTTTAGCCTTCTCCCGCAAGTCGCTGGTGATGGAACTGCAGCCGCCGAAACGCACCCACTCCCACTCCAAGACTAGGACTGTAAATGGCTAAAGTTCACTTTATCCTTTTCTGTTTACTAATTTGCCTCTCACCTACCCTTTCCTGCTCCCCATCCAACCCCGACTCTGCTCCCATAAAGGCAATCAGAGTTTTAAAAATATTAGAGAAGGCAAACTCTTATTCTTGGTCTTACTAGGAAGGACTGGGGTGAAGTAGGGTTTCTTTGGCATCTCTGGCCCTAGAATACGACCTCAGTTGTGAAGAGTTTTGTATCTATGAGGTGGCTTCAAAAAGTTTGTGGAAAAATACCATTGTCTTTGGATTCCACTTTTCCATGAACTCTTTGAAGCCCAATCATAGGGTCATGGCTTTTTATAGATCCCTTAGGTTTAGCTATCTGAAGGTTCCCATGGTTAAAAGAGAATCTCTTACAACCTAAGCAAAGACTCCTCCACTTAGCTTCTCTGCTCACCACTGGATGCAAAAGGCCTGGCCATACGACGTTCTTTGTCCCGATACTGTGATCCAACATGACGGTGATACTGTGATCCAACATGACGGTCTTCCTCAGGGCCCACATTAGAAACTCATGCCCTACGTTTGAGTTTGTGAATTGGGCCAATGACCTCCAGTCGATGACTCTCCAGGAGTGGTCCTGATAAGCTTTCATCAGAAACCGTAATAATGAATGACCCCCTACCCCTCCAGTATACTTTAACTCCAGAACCACACTGAGGAGATTTTTAGATCATTTTATTATTATTATCATGTAATTTAATGCTAAGCAGGAAAAGATCCAGCAACATCACTAGCAGAAATTAAGTCCGTGGACTTGTTCTTTTGTTGTACGGCCCAGCCTTCAAATGGTGATCTTTCCAGAGCTTCCTATTTCTGTGTTGCAAAGGGGTCTTCTTTAGAGTCCCGACAAGAAACTTCCTCAGCCTATCAGAAAGATGGATTTCCAAAACCAACCATCTCTTGTACTGTGTGGATCTCTGCCAGCAGAGCTTCATCTTTCAGTTTGAGCTGCATGAAAGGAGAAAGAGAAGAGCACATGGCATACTCGTCATTCTTCGGTGGCCTCAAGCCACCTTCTTTTGTGGGGCTACAACAAAGAGCATTGTTACTTGCAATGGAACTGCCTCTTTATCCCCTATTTCATGGACACTCTACTAATAAAGTTCAGTTTTTAAAGGGCTCACATTATCACCCAACATCTGTTGCCTAATGTGTAGTATCCCCATTTGATTCCAGAAAGGAGTCAAGGTAGAGGAATCAGAGATTTATTAGATCTTACATTAGATCGGAACTTTTAACTTTTTAGAATTTAGATGTGTGATAGAGAAATCTGGTTGCCTACTAAATATCCAAGCTATCTTTTCTAATATAACCTTAGTGGTTTGGGGGTTTTGCTTCTATCTGCTTTTTCTTTCTTTTTTTTAAGGCAACAATGCAACCAGCTAAAAAGCTGTTGTTTTCTTGCTTCTCAGTGTCCAATTGTGATCAATAAAATGCAGGCATTGGCTGGGACATTTTGAGATGTTCTTTAAAGGGAAATTGAAGGACTAGCTTTGTCCTTTTCCCTCTTTTATTCTTTATCCTGCTTGAAACATGGATTTGGTGACTGGCGCTACTTTGCTGTCTTGCAAACGTGTAGGATGGGAATTGCATGCTATGCTTAGTAGAACAGAAAGAAAGAGATTGGGCCGCCATTCAAATCTCTACTACTTGCAATTTGTAACTGATTGAATAGGGGTTGGAAAATGAATCCTGTTGGTTTCTTTTTTTTTTTTTTAATCATTTTATTAGGGGCTCATACAGCTCT